ATACTCAAAAGTACACGGCTGAGGCGAGCTGCAGACCCCTCGGGTAGGCCAGTATATGGTCACTCAAAGATGCCCATATTTTGAAAAAAAATATGTTTCTTGCATTTCTAAACTTTCAAAGTCTATTTAGAAAAACTCGGACTGCATCTAAAACAGAAAAATCTGAAATGATGGGTGATCGGTTTCAGGTTTCATTAGAGGGCCACCTTCGGTGTGTGTGTGTGTGTGTGTGTCGCTAGGGTGTTTTCAAAAATTTATTGCCTGGTCGATGATTTTTAGGTGCGTCCAGGACGTACGAATTCAACACCGTCCTCCCCGGTGTCCTACGACCTCGTTCTCGTGAACGCGGGTACCCCGCTGCGCAACACGTTTGAAAATATCAGCCCCCGACGTGGGCTTATACCATGCGGTAACACCGCGGGTACCAGTCCGTTCATTTGTCTTGAGACTACCCTTCACAACAAACCCCGAGGTTTCCATAACGATACTAGTACCGAGGGGGCACCAACTCCGAAATTTCGTGTACTGTGATTACACTCAAATAGTGAATTTTACTGAATAATTACTGAATACAGACTGAATATTGAAGATATTCACAGTGCTGCGAGAAGTCGCGACGAGGCAGGAGTCCCTGGTGCGGCTGAAATTTTCAAACGGTCTTGCGCAGTGGGTAAACGATGCCGCTCGACAACGGGGAGGACGGCGTTGGACTTGTACGACCTATACGCTTCTAAAAAGCACCGACCAGGCAACTTGTATTTTGAAACACCCTACAGTACGCACTGTCAACTGCTTTCGAACAAAAGGTTCGTAATGCAAATCAAAACTTTCGTAGCGTACGAAGGATTTTGAAGCGTTGTATTACGAACTATTTGTTTGGAAGCTTACGAACAAACAGTACGTAATGCAAACCGATTGTTCGTAATAACCTTCTTGGCCTTGCATGCAAACAATCGCTTTGCAATACAATTTCTTTGTACTACAAAGAACAAAAAAATGTTCGTTACGTTGCAAAGCATTCACTTTGAATACTATCGTCGTATTTTTTTATTTTTTTTGTAAACTCGAATTACAATTTAAGTTGTAAATTTACGAGAGCACATTTTTTACTCGCCAATGGATTCTAAGTCGATACGTACTGCATGTATTTTTACGATTACAAATTGTTATTTTACAACTTGCGTCAAGGAAAATTTTCCTGTAAACCTTCCTACTAATTTTCGCAGTGTTTAGTTCCTCAGCATTTTACAGTGAGCATCTTGTATGTTCGCAGGACAAATTTTAATGTCTACGACTTCCCGGGGTTTAGTGACACTCGTGGCTCATGTTCAGATATTGTGACAGCGTCTGTTTTGCAAATGGTAGCACGATCGGCAAGTTCTATAAAGGTAGGTCAGAGCAACAAAAAGTTAAGGGCAATTTGTTGGGGGCTTCCATTGAAGTTTTGGAACAACATAACTGTTTACTATTTTGCATTTTCTAGGTGGTTCTTGTGGTGCCGTTTGACTCTGTACGTTCTGGTAGTGACCGACTTGGCTTCGTATCACTGCTCAGGCACGCTACAGCTTTTATCAAAAAACCCTTAAAGTACCAGAGTTCTGTGGGTCTTGTTGTTACCAAAGTAAGTAAAAACGTCTTGGATTCATGGTTGGGACTCGGGTTCGACAATCATTATTATGCCGTACATAAATTAGGTATAACCAAGGAACGAATTGTGTGCAAGCTTAGAGCAACTGAGCGATTTCAGATTAGTACGCAAGTCAGATCAACTGCTTATAGTTCAGCATGCAAATGCCAAATTGAGAGGTGCCACAATAGTTTTCTCTCAAAGAAGGGAATTTTATCTAGTCTTTTAAATCACTGCACTGAAATTGTGCTGGATGCTAGCAAGATGGGTCCAATACTCGCACACAGTGGCGTTGGTCGGGCCTGCTGCGGACCGACCTGTAGTAAGCCACTCTGCTTATGTATGTATAAAATTAAGCTTTTGGGCGGGCCTGGGCCCTTTAAAACATGCTCCTTGAACATGAGAGAATGTAACGGCGTGGAACCGTGGCTTTTGTCCAACCTTCCACCGGAACTCAAATCAAGTATCCTCTTTTCTGGGTCGATGCGCCCTAACGAAAGAGTCCGATCTGCTTTGCTGCCGAACCAAAAGAGTTCGTTCTGCTTTTCCGCGATGAAAAGTCAGGCTTCTTTGGAGGGCTATAATTCCTCGGATATTTAGAATATACGCAAAATAAAAAGACTAGCCTGTTACCCTGTCCTTTACGAATGTGTACACCCTAAAATATATACCCCTTTTCTCTCAAGGTTTGAGATATTATTTATGTTTATGTTTATGTTTATGCGGAGCGGTCGACGAGCGCCGAAAGCAGATCGAACTCTTTTGGTTTGGCAGTAAAGCAGATCGGACTCTTTTGGTTTGGCAGCGAAGCAGATCAAACTCTTTTGGTTCAGCAGCAAAGTAGATCGGACTCTTTCGTTAGGGCGCATCGGGGTGTTCTCACTCTGAAAGTCCAACTGCATAAAAAAGACCAAGGCGTCCTAACAACAAGAGCCTAATTGCGGGGCAGAATACACACTAAGGTGAACTGCAACGCTGCGAATACACAAAAGCTTATCTGCAAAACGAGCTTGTGTTGTTTGCATGTTACTGGAAGACATCCAAGCCAATCTGCGCACACAGGGAAAACCGTAAAGGTTCAAAAGTTTAATGCGTGGAACGAGCGGACACGGAGTTTGAACTGCACAACTAAAAGACTTTCAGTCTAAACTGCGAAGGTACAGTGAGGCCTCGCTATAGTTCCGCTCTCTCTATATGAATCCGCCGACTCACCCCCGCACCCATAAAACGAGGTTCTTGAATCAGATAGATAACCTTGAAACAAGTCAACTAGACATATTTGACTGGCAAAGACTGAACATGATTGGAAATGGTTTGGAACGTTCGGAAATAGCCGAAAATGATGGGAATGATAAGACTGATTAGAAGTTGCTGGGAATTATTGGAAGTTGCTTGGAAGGATTGGAAGCTGCTTGGAATTATTGGAAGTTGATTGGAATGATTGGAAAATGATTATGTTGATTGGAAAATGATTATCTGTTGATTGGAAAATGATAATAAGTTGATTGGGATAGTAAAGTGCTTGCCTGATTTATTCAGGTACCAAATGTTATACGAAAAGTGAAAGGCGTGCGACTGCTAGTCTCGGACAATGATATGCGTCGCACAGTGGTTTCATTCCTCCGTGAGGTCAACGGAACATTGGATACTTTGAAGCAGTCAAAGTCAGACCCTGAAGAATTTTACCCAGCAGCCAGCCAACTGGTTAGTAATAATGTATTTTCCATGTGTCTAATATACTAAACAAATTATCCGGTCAATACGTTCTTTGCAGATAAGTAATATCTTAGAAAAAGAAGGAGACGAGTATCCACGAATTGGCTTGTTTCGGACACCAGAAGAAGAGGGTCTGTTGAGTGAACTTGAACCGATGCAAGAAGCAAAGTCCGCGCTTCAGAACCTATTTTACAAGTATGTATGGACGTTCTGTGGGCTCATGCCATCGCCCCTGTGTTTGTCCATCTGTCCGTTTCCCAAGAAGGACGTGAGCTAGGGGTCTGAATTTTTAAGTGGAATCTAAGCAGAAGAGTGGGCTTATATTATGGTGGCACATCATAACGAAATGGTGTTCACTTCCGTGCCAAAAACTCACACTATCATACTCTTTTGTTGTTGTTGTTGTTGTTGTTGTTGTTGTTGTTGTATTTCAAGTTCGGAGTCATTTCAAAATATGCCTGCGAGTAACTTTTATTCTTGAGGGTGTAAGTCTCAAATAATTTTTAGAGGTGTGTTATTGAGCCTACAAGCTACCATCAATAAGGAGGAATTATGAGAAATGTGCGTAAGCCTCTATTTTACAAATTGCGGCATAAAACAGTTAACAATGTACGGCGTATTGAGAGAATGCATTAGTTGTTACGTTTTATTTACTTAGTAAAGTAAATGTACCTTGCAGTAAGGTGGTTCGAATCGAGTTCTCAGCCGAACGGGCTAAAGGCCCGTTCTCTGATGTAATCTTATACAGCACCATGAAAACATCTGAAGGGACGGGCAGCAGGCCGCTGGCCCGTACCAAACACCAACGGCAGGCCAAGCGAGGTCCGCTTCCTGCTGACCAATTTACCGGTGCAGCAAAGCGGAGCTGGCAACTTGGTTTGCCGGAAGAGCGGGCCTCGCTTGTTTGCTTTGTGGAGGTACTGACAATGACAAGTTACATTCACGAAGAAAAAGATGAAGTCAATTCACGGAATAAGGGCGAAAAGCGTAAAAGATGATGTGACACTTATTAAGGGTCCCGGCACTACCAGAGCAGCTTCAAATAGTAACCCTTATTATTCATTGCAGTGTACTGACACCCACCGTACCTGACGACGATGACTTCGGCCTGCCACTCTCTGACGTAGCGAAATTTAGTGTCCAACGACTTCACAGCAACTTTGCCAGTCGATTAGAAGGTCATGTCGCCAAGATTGCTCTGGCGTTAAAGGAACATTACCGCGTAAGGACACAATTTGATGCACCCTATGTAAAACCGCTTACCTCCTAGCGTTCTCTCTACCATCGCGTACCTCCCGGCGCACCCCAGAAAACCGCCTTAGTCTGTAGGGCTCCCTAAACTGGTAAGTGGTTCTACGGGGTGCGCTGAGGAAGGCGTTACCGTTACCTGACCTGCAGCACCCTGGACGCAAACGGTTTTTAGAAAGATCGCTCGTATGTGAGCTGTTTTCGACAGGTGCTATAAAATTTCTTTCACTACCATCGAGTGTGCAGTCTCGCTGAAATTGAGGAATGAAATTACCAGAAATGTTCGTCGTAGAATCCTACCCAGTGTCATGTTTTTGGTGACTCCAGGTTCGCCGCCAACAACTCCTCGACATCGCTGCCGTGCGAGAGCAGAGCTCGCGCGACCGACAGCACCTTGCCCAGGCACTCAACCGGCTGTTACCTGGTAACAACACTGTGAGTGCATGTCGAGTGGTTCGTCTAGGCCAGAGAGTGCATTTTCACAGGGGTAGCCTGTCTTTGATTCAGACAAATAAAAGCAGATGATACGCAGTTATCATCAGCTTGTACTCTCGTAAAGGTCAAAGTTCGCCAGTTAAAGCAGCAGAAACCCGGTAGCAGTAGTCCAGTCAGCCCAATCCATTTGGACAGTGAGCTTGCAGTGGGGCTCTCGCGTGCTGGCTTGTATCTCTAGTGCTGTTCACACCGACAGCACTGTAACGATATGAGCGACACTACGCAGCTGCAGCTGCACTGCGCAGCTCTATGCCACCGTTACGACCGCATTAAATCCTCATAAAACACGCGCCAAACCACGCACGCACGGCACGCACGCTGCGCCATCCACCACCGCGCACAAAGCCTCGTTGTAAGAATGCCGCGTTCAATGACGCGATAACGTCGCGTTCAACGAAGATCCACACCGCGCCCAACACCGCGAATATTGCTGTAACGTGTTTTTACTTGTTGGTTTCTTTCCCTGTATACGACAGAACTCCTCGGTCAGCACTCCTCGGGAGTTTCTGCGCCGACTACTGGCTGCAGTACGTGAAGTGCACCAGGGTGCGCCCGCAGTCGACTTCCTGGCATCACTTAACGATACCGCTGTGCTTGAACTGCTCGAAGACGCAACGCCAGAGGAGATGCAGAACCTCAGACCCGAGCAGTGGTCACAGCCACTTCAAGACCTAATGAGGTACGAGCCGCGTGTCGCTGTAAGGACATTCGATTTGGGGCCGTAAGGCCCCATTCGTGAAGTTATCCACCAATGTGTATTTGCAGGCCTAGCTATATGTGCGCCAGACGCGTCGCAGCGGAACAGTGTTTCATGAGATACCGCGAAGCCAGTCGTGATAAACCCTTTTTGAAGAAGAATGTGTGAAGTTTGTGAAGCGACGTGGTCTATATACAAATAGTTTTTTTCATTTTTAGCACGCTCTTCTGATCACGGCAAAAACAATGTCTCATTTTTTGAGGAAAAAGAGAAAACTCTAAAGACCTCCCCTATTTGAGGAAAACTCCTCAGATCTCGCCTCAGATTTTGAGGAACCTCCTAGTGAACTTCCTTCACTGTTAGAAAAACACACGGTGAGGGTCTACGGTCTGCGCTGTAAATTTTGTTGCCTGGTCCGGCACCGTTATTTTTGGTTACGGTCCGTGTCATTCATAACACACCGTAACTTGAAAAAATGTTGAGGAAGTTGAATACAGCTCTTCGCCAAAACAAGAAAGTACAGTTCATACTGTGACGGCCTGACCGTGCGCTGAAAATGGCGTAGGGTTCGTAGGCAAACCGTAACTGCCTACGGTATTTTTTACAGTGTTAGTGAATCAGTACGGTGGTTCCAGCCGTATCTGATAGAATCTTATTCAGCTTTATGAAAACACCGCCGGCAGGCCAAGCTTGGTCGGTTTACTGCTGAACCAAGTTGCCGATGGAGCGAAGCGGAGCTGTAAACTTGGTTTGGTGGAAGAGCGGGCCTAGCTTGTATACGCTGTGAGGCACGTTGCGGACTCTTAAAAGTCCTCTCTTGTTATGTGGTTGGTAGAGTTCGTCTTATGTTGACAGCTATGTTGACGGTGTGGAGCTTTGGTACCGAACACTCGACACACTGGAGACCGCACTATCAGCGTACGAAGTCCAAGGAGACAAGGATCTGAAACGTCGAATTCGTCAAAAGCACGAATCACGGGGCAACAAGGAACTGAATCCTCTCTTCTCTGTGCTTACTGCTGTTAATGGAGGAAACTTTGACTCTTTCGATTTAGCAAAGGTAAGTCATGTCGTAATGTAAATTTCCATTCTAATTCTCATTTCTGAGGTTAGCTAAAGGGTTTTATATGCAAATAGAGTCCTATGGGTAGTGCAACGGAACGAGAGGTGCTGAGGTGCTTGTGCTTACGGTCGTGCAAACGTCGCGCAACTATCGTGCCAACGTGCCATGCCGTAGGAAGTTCAGCGCAGGCCCGCCGTGTCGGCGGTTCAAATCACGCGCAAGAACTTGGCGATGGTATCGGGGTATCGGTTGGTACGGATGAGATTTGTATAGCTACGCTGATGAGATTTTGAAGAATTCTGGAAGGACTGCGGATTTTTTTATTTGATTATCTTTCTAATCGGATAGATCGGGGCCATATTTGTTACACAACCGGCAGCGTCCGTTTCTTCAACAGCACGATCATCCACATATTGCATCCGGACGCGACAGCGTTCCAACCAATGCACTGCAAAAGGCTTGCAGGAATGCGGATAGCGACCACCACTTTCGTCCGCCAGGATCGCTGGTGGCACTGGTCGCCATTCCTACCAGACTGTTCGGATTATCCACATTGAATCCATCAAGCATCCGAGACATATTTCCGCCGTCCGTGTCTCTGATTTGTCTCTTACCGTTTCGTAGGCACGGACTGGAGGGTCAGGGGCCCCGGCGGGAAGTCGACCAAAGTGGCCCCCAAATTGCCTACCTTACAGGGGCCAGGGGTCCGTAACTTAACGCATTAGTGTTATGCGTTAGTTATATAAATTAACGTGGAACGCATTAGCGATATGCGTTAGTTATGTAACGTAACGTCTAACAATTTGCAATAAGAGTTAAAGGTATGGGTCGTCAAAAATTATTCTGGTGCTAGTTGGACCTGGTTCCGGCATTTTGAGTCTATCTCTTAACGTTTCATTGTACGGTCACAAGTAATAAGTTATTACTCTTAACGTTTCATTGCACGATCACAAGTTATGAGTTATAACTTTAACGGATAACGCCGACCCCTGACAGGGGCAACTAAGATTTTCAACAATTTTTTACGAAAAAAGGGAGAAATTTTCGTATTGCGCCTTTTCTTTGTTTATCTGAGCACACGGCAACAGCAATACTAGCTTAGTAGTAGGTCCTTTGGTAGCCAGGCAAAGGGTGGGGGAAGCAGAATGCACTGTGAAATGTAGGCGAGCGAAGCGAGCGCGAATTTGTTTTAGTGCATCCTTTCACGGTCTGCAAGTACCAGAGCACATTTTTGTCCCGTGTTTTATCACAGTGTTTTTCTGTAATCAGGACGAAATCAATTTCCATATCGAGCGATAGGTTCTCCTCGCAAGAACACGAACCCATAGAGAGAAAGAATGAAAATACTGCGAGCGAAGCGAGCGCGAATTTTTTTGTGCGTTTCCAAGGGCACCAAAATGCTTTGAGAATTGCGCATGGCGCCGAAAAGGTGCACTGAAAGCGAGGCTGAAAGTGCGCTTTTGACTGGTTTGAACGCATTGCTTATTGATCGATCAGTCACCGTACCTTTGCAAAACCTCCGTTCGTACGTATATTTATATATTCCAGTTAGGTCCAGGGTGTTAACCAAACCAGCTCACACTCATACTTACTACCCTCCAGGCCAGGGCTGAGGGCCTAAAGATTATCAAAGCTGTTTCTTGCTTATCTCTTCTATTAAAACTACAAAGAGAGTTTAGGCTACGATTGTTACGGTGTTAAGCCAATGACATATTTCAGAGGCCCAAGGGGCCCCGATTGTGTTTCCCGGGGGGGGGGGGATTTCCCGCCTTCCCCGGACGGGCCAGTCCGTGCCTACCGTTTCGGAGATCCATTCTATCCGTATTCCACCGTCCTAAATGCGTCTTGGAGATGATGGATTAATGGATTGATTGATGCATTTTGGAATGCGTATATCCACAAAGATCATTCTTCGCATCCGCAATGCATCCAAAGCGTGTCAATCTCATCCAGAGTTCATTCCCTTGTAGCACCAAACATTCAGACAACGTTCTGAGAACGTTCTTTTGGTTCTCTGGAGGTTCCGTAAACGTTCTAAGAACGATATATGCTACAAGGCCCAGCCGAAAATTCCGGTTACGGTTACGGCTGTTACGGTTACACTCGTAAATTGGACCCATTTCCGGTTACGGTTACGATTAAAGTTCCGGTTACGATTACGTTTACTGTTTCGGATACGATTACGGTTAGTCAGCCCGGTTACGGTGAGAACGTTCCGGTTACGGTGATGACGTATTGGCAGTAACTCAAAGCCCCCATGAGACCAGAGCACATGTCGCCCAAGTAAACTTTTGACGCCGAGCACAATGGTGGTGTTTTCGTTGCGGTATCTCTAACAGTTCTCAAGATAGCCGGGGGTTGAAAAATCGACTCTTTCCAAACTCCACACATAGGTTTGACTTGTGTTTCCCTTACGTTACCCTTAACCGTTTCCCCCTGCAAAGCTTAGTTTAAGCGCTACGACGTTTCAAAATTTGATATTTTCCGGTTACGATCGTAATCGTTTAACATTACTCGTAACCGTAACTGCTGACCGTAACCGGGCTACGGTTACGGTCGTATTCGTAAGCTTACTCGTAACCGTAAGTGTAAACCGTAATTGAACTCCGGTTACGATCGTAATCGTAAATTTTAACCGTAACCGGTGCAAATTACGGCTGTAATCGTAAATTTTGACCGTAACCGTAGCAAATTACGGCCGTAATCGTAAATTCTGGCCGTAACCGTAACCGGAATTTTCGGCTGGGAGGGTTTATGAGTGATTCTGAAAAGCTTTCCAATTCGTGTTGTTTTCTTACTTGTGCAATGTGCACTGCACCAAAGCGCCGGCTGGGTGTTTTCTTTAACAAATCAGCTCTTGAAACCTACAGTTCGTGTTGGCTGCGTACAGACACGTAGTTAGTTTATGGGGTCGCCTACAAAGTCGAAAGAGCTTGCAAATCACTTCTGAGATCTAAAAATTCAAAGTAAATTTTTATTGAACTGTAAATGGGTAACCTTTTCCATTACGGTAAAAATTCAGATCTCAAAAACCGACAAAGATAGAGCGAATTCCTTCAAATTTTCACCGAACCGTAAAATTGCTAGTTAAGCCAAGAACGATATGATTTGTCACAGCATGGAGGTTTTTTTTGTTTCTCTGGAGGGACCTTGGACAACAAGCTTTTAACCCACTAATGGTAATTGTTTATGCAGCTACAACCAGACGCTGAAATGGTGCGAGATCTTGACTTACTTGTAAACGCCACGTTATACCCTGAGCCGCTTCAATCAAACTGTGTTCAGGAAAGATCGGGCTGGTAAGTACTTAAAGATTTCTCAAAAAACGAGAAAGCATACGACTATGTATATTAAATTCAAAATTGTCAAATAAAAATATGAATAAGTTTTAGACCGGTAATAAATTTGTCAAAGAACCTCGTTAAAATACCAGAGATGTCGCACGGTTGACTTAGACACGTCCTGAGCCGCTGGACGTAAATGAAGCTTATTGCGCGAAAATTTGTAAAATGATTTGATCGTAAATTAACAAATATGCGATTGTTACGTCAACAATGTGGAGGTACTTGTTAAACCGGATAAAGCCAAGTGAAAATAGTTCCATAAAAGCTCTCTACAATACTCTTTCGCATTATTTATCTACGAAAGAAAAAGCGCTTATCTGGTTGACTCTCTGTGTGTCTAACTGATCTACACTCGCTTAAATGAGCGGCAGTGTTGATGTGCACCTGAATTATTTTTAGAGTTTTACGAAACCTTTTTTATATGTTACGGAATAATTTACAGACCTTTCTTGAGGACCGATCAGGAACAATATTTGGTCATCTACCTTCTTGTTACACAGTCACCAGAGCGTTTGTATAAGCCCACCTGTTTTGCGGCGTTTTCAAAGCAGACTGGCGGGCTTAAAAGAGCCCCCTACCCCCTTCACCTCTCACCCCTTCCTCAAAAACCAACCTCTCCTCTATACTCCCCCACACCCCCTCTCGTCTACACAGTCCTGGCTAAAATCAATCAGCGGTGCTGTTGGTCGGTTGCGGCCCACCACCGCGCTGTTACTTTTCTTTTGCAAGGCCAAAGAGTCCATCATAAACGGCTAAACAACTAAAAAAAAATGTTACGAAATTGATCAAGACCCAGAAGCTTAACGAAACCGTTCAAGATCGGTTGATCCATTTGTTGACTACCCGGTATGATGGTAAAAGGCCTAGGCACCGAAGACAGCGGGGTTTTGACCCTTATGCCGCATACCCCGCCCCGACGCG